GACCATGAATCAATTGTCGGAAAAACCGAACTGGTTCACGTTTAGGGAAGAAAACTGCCATCCTGACCTGGTCTGACCTACATCCAGACCAACACCAATGTAGTTGACCCTTAACTGCCCTCTGGGCAATTAGGATGGGCAATAAGTGCTGCCCTTATCCCGTGAATGAATTAAAAAATATGACCTTGCCGCCTTCTTTCCAAGGAGAACAGATCTATCACCTTCAACCTATCTTCGTGTCCCACCTTCTTCAATTCTGTCCTCAGGAAAGACATAATGTCTGCAGGATTATGTCAAATGTACAATCTCTGCTCTCTGTACGTGACAAACAACAACACCTTCCGGTCGCCAACCATTTTAACTCCCCGTCCCACTCCCTGGGTGACATGTCCATCCTGGGCCTCCTCCAGTGTCACAATGACACCATCCGCAAACTGGAGGAGCAGCACCTCATATTCCGCCTCGGGAGCCTACAGCCCGATGGACTAAACGTGGAACTCACCAGTTTTAAAATCTCCCCACCCGGCCTCATCCCATGTCCAACCCTCCCTCTCATCCCCACCTCCTTGACCTGACACAACCTGCCCATCTTCTCTCCCACCTATCTGCTCCTCCTACCTCACTCACCAATGCCGATCACTGCCTACCTGCACTCACCTATCACCATCCCACCTACCTTCCCCAGCCCCATCCCTCCTCTCTATTTATTTCCCAGCTCCCTTCCCTCTCCCCCATTTCTGAAGAAGGGTCCCAACCCAAAACATCAACATCCCTGCTCCTCTGATGCTGCCTGGCCTGCTGCGTTCCTCCAGCTCCACACTGTGTTATCTCTGACTCCAGCATCTGCAGTTCTTGCTATCTCTGGTCAATTTCTTGTAGTCCACTCTCTACATTTAACTTAGAATGAATAACTTCCTACATTTCACCCAGTTGATGATATTTTCCATTATTATTCAAGAGCTTATATAATCTCATGCCAGAAGAATATTTCCCTAGTATGAGGCGCATGTATAAAACGTCAAAAGTGGCTTCTCCCTTGTGGCTCTCAGGAACTGAACATCAGCTGGAAACTCACTGTTGGTAAAATCATATGTTCACTCATGATTGTGGACAACTACAAGCTTGTGATTTACACACAGTGGCTTTTGTTGGTTTCGTGCTTTTTTATTCAACCAAATCTTATTAAGTTCTTATTAAGTTGTTGCAAGGACCTGGAGCCAATGGATTTTCTGCCGCGTGTAAGTAAGATTATATGAAATGCTGAAGGCGCTTTGAAAAACACAGTTGTGCATTGTTTTTGATAAGGCATGCATCCTTTCTTCACAGAAGAGAGCACTTCTGGAGGGAAGTGAAAGATATCTCTACCAAGTAAAGGCAGCTAGTCGGTAGTTATTAGAATAAAAACCAAAAGAACTGCAGATGCTGTAAATCAGGAATAAAAACAAAGTTGCTGGAAAAGTTCAGCAGGTCTGGCAGCATCTGTGGAGGAGAAAACAGAGTTAACTTTTCGGGTCCGGTGACCCTTCCTCAGAACTACTTTGTTTTTGTTGTTGGTAGTTATTAGAATGTTTGACTGTAGCTGACTCTTGCATAGTTTAAATCAGCTAATCTGCTGACACAATTGATATCAGACAAAGACATGTCAAGCTTGAGGCAGGATTCCTGCACCTATACTGAGGTAAATCATCTCAGCTAGTGTGACAATCAGAGCACTTACCATTCAAGGAGGCAGGAGTTACTGGGATTCCTGATCACTATCCAATTGTTTGTGTTAGTATTTGGCAAAAGTGAAATGAAACTGAAGTCTAATTGTTTTATCTATTCTTTTGTGGGATATGGACAGGCTGGGCCAACGTTTATTGTCCATCCCTAATCGCTCTGGAGACATTGGCAATGAGCTGCCTTTCTCATCGGTTACAATCTGTTTGATTGAGGTAGACTCACAGTGCGGTTAGGAAGGACCTTTCAGGATTTTTAGTCAGTGACAGTGAAGGAATGGCAAGTCAGGATGCTGGATGGCTTGAAGGGGAATTTGCGTATGGTGGTTACCCTGGTTATCTGCTGCTTTTGACCCTCTAGAGGGTAATGTGTGTTTGGAAGGTGTTCTTGAAGGAGCATTGACTTGTTGCTGCAGTGCACCTTGTAAATGGTCCACTCTGCTGCCACTGTACATCAATACTGGAGGGAGTGAATGCTGAAGCGGGTGGATGGGGTTCCAGTCAAGTGGGCTGCTTGGTGTTGAACTTCATCTGTATTGTTAGAGCTACACTCCTCCAAGCAAGTGGAGAGTATTCCATTACACTCCTGACTTACACTTTGTAGATGGTGAGTGGGTTTTGGGGAGTCAGGAGGTGAATTACTTCACTGCAGGTTCCTAGCCATTGGTAGACTGTGACAAGCATTTTCTACATACATTCAAGAAGTGACAAAGGCAAATTTATGGGAGTGAACAGACTATGGCAAACACAGTTCGGTTTGGGAAAGTGTGATGTCACCTACCTGGATCCAAGAAAGACAAAATAGAATATTTCCTTCATGACAAGTGACTAGAAACTGTGAGGATTGTGGAGATGTAGGCATTTGTGTTCACAAAGACTAAAAATCTTTGGTCTTCACCTTTACGGTGAACTGGAGTACTGCAGTGAGGAGGCATTGTTTCAGTTTTAAAGAGTCATGATCAGATCCCATCGGGCAGATTATGTTCAGTTTAAGAATCACACATCATTGGTCTTGGAAGGAGTAAATTTGCCAGAATTGCATCAAGTTTGATACGGTTAAATTGTGAAAATAATTCCATAAACTTGGCTGGTGTTCTTTGAGTTTAGTAGGCGAAGGGGTGACCATGTATTACCAGGGAGCCTGAAATGGTAGTTTCCGGGCAGTAATTAAAGTTAGCCTGTAACTAATCCATCAGAGATACTTTGTAGCTAGAGAAAGGGTCAGGTGTCACACAGAAAGTGAGCTATCCTGGGAAACAGTGAGGAATGTTGCAATCTATGGCTCCGAGATTTTCTGTCACTGCATTGGATGACTTGGTGGAAGAGTTGGCAAGGAGGGAGAGATGTCCTGAATTCATATGAGTATACAGGAGGCCCTCTAGACCCACACTCAAGGAGATGACTGGTCTACAGATGAGTGCACAAGGATGGATATCAATGAATGGCTCAAATTGCTGATAGCACTTATTGACTAGAGTAGGCTCATACATGAACAATATTGGAGAAGGCAGTGGTGTAGTGGAAATTCCACTGGTCTAGTGGCCTAGACTGATGCTCTGAGGAATGAAAGCACAAACAGCAGATGCTGGACTTCTGAAATTAAAAAAAAACAAATTAAAAAAAGTGCTGGAGAGAGAAAATTTGTGGAGAGGGCAAGAAACAAAGTCAACATTTTGAGTACAGTCTGACTCTTTTCTTTAGATGTTAACTGTGTCCATAGATGCTGCCAGACCTGCTTCTTCAACACTTTCTGGTTGTCGTATTATTAATGCTCTGAAGGTTCGAATCCCAGCATAACAACTAACAAAAATTATCTGCAAAGTAAAGATAGTTTCATGGCGCCATTTTAGGGAAAGAAATCTGCTGTCCTCACCTGACCTATGTATGACTCCAGGTCCATAACAGTGACCTATCAAGCCATTCCTTTCATGGACATTCAGAGATGGGCAGAAAATACTATCCTTTGCAATGCTAGCAACATCCCAGAAAAGAATCGATTCCATCTGGGAAGAAAGAAGAGGTAATGCTAGAATATCATGACTCTGAGGAATGACAGTACATACATTCTTCATGACTTCAAGGGCCCATAAGAGCAAAAATAATATTGTGATTGGGAAGAGAGGAGTCATAGAGGCACACAGCACGGAAACAGTCCCTTCGGTCAATCGTCCATGCCAAACAAGTTCCCCAAACTAAACTAATCCCATTTGCTTGAGATTGGTCCATATCTCTCTAAATCTTTCCTGTTCATGAACATGTCTTTTAAATATTGTTTCTACCACTTCCTCAGGCAGTTCATTCCATGTATGAACCACCCTCTGTGTGAAACTTTTGCCCCGCAGGATCCTTTTAAAATCTTTCTCTGATTACCTTAAAAGGTTGAGGCAAACTGAGGAAAAGCCATTACATGTTTTCAGGGTTTGGCGATTGAAAGATGCTTGGGAGTTCAACATTTCTGTAAAGTTGGAAAAGATATTTTTCAGGAATGACTCCATCTCTCTAAGTGGAATCCAGCATTCCTTTGATAAACAGCTTCCAAAACCTGGTCCTGAACATGTAGGCCCTCTTTCTTTAATGTGAGAGTCGCCCTAAATTATAGAGTATCTGCAGTGCAAAAGCAAGCCATTTGGCCCATACCACTCCTCCAAAGAAAAGCATCCCATCCAGACCAAACCTCCCCCTAACCCTAGCCTTGGGACCCATGCCTAACTCACACATCATGGGCAACTTAGAATAGCCAATTCACCTAACCTGCACATTTTTGTTTTGGGGAATAAACCCACATAAGTACAGATACCCAGGTCCCTGGGTTAGTGAGGTAGCAGTACTAACCACTGTGTTACCCTAGAAATAGCTAGCAAAAGGATCTTGTTAGTTGGGTGCTGGCTATGTGGAGGGAAAACTTTTACAAAACTGCCTTTTGCATGAGAGCTCCCCATACAGACAGCAAACTGTCAAATAAATCTCACAAGAAAATAGCACCAGACTAGTGCAAAAAGTTGGTTTCCTTCTGGTGCTTGTGGCAGGAATAAGAGGTGTTTGAATGACTGAACAATGATTTCAATCATCTGTTTATCTAGTTACAACCTTTCAGCTATAAACTAAACAGAAAATGACCATTTGATAGATCTGTGTGTGTGTGTGAAACAGATATCTAGCTTTGTGATCTGTACAAACAAGATTTGAATTCCTGTAAAACGGATTCACTATTTGTAGCACATTGCTTCACGTGCTTCAAGAGTGTGGGGCTAGACTGAGTATAATTAGCATTTCAAGTTCTCCTGTTCCAACACAAGCTCTTTAATTGGCTTCTGAGTAATACACCTCCTGCTAAAGGAACCAGTTGTCTTTTATACTTAATGAGAGACTTTTCAAGAGCTTTAGAAGCGAAGAAATTGTAGTATCCACCAGCTGGATGTTTACTCGTGTGAGAAGTAAAGCAGTTGTCCTGACCACAGGCACAGTTGATATTTTTCTGTGTGAGTATCTAAATAACTTTGGTGTCTGACTGTAACTGCGTACGCGAGACAGATTAATCATTTACAAGTTGTTGAGAAGCTCTTTGTTCTTTGGGTAATGAAAGTGCAGCACTGCTGTATATAGAATGTTAGTTGTCAGGGTGTAGGAGAGAACATCATTTACCTCCCCCTATACTGTGGCTGTCCTTATCTGTTTCACTCACGGGATGTCAGTATGTTTGTGCCTTTCTCTGTCAAACTATTTCGAGCATAAATTGACTCTTCTAACGCTCACGTTAGCTTACATAATTGACATGCCTAGATCGTGACATCACATGATGCCGCAGCTTAGCAACGAGCAGAAAGAGTTTAAAGTCTATGGGCTTCAATGCATCAGTACAACTGAGGGAGTTAGGAAACATGTTGCAGCTTTGGACAGTGGAGTGGGGGATCAAACAGCCTCTTACATCTGGTAAGTGCATTTACAATCTGAACTGACAAACTTTCTCATGGATGTGCAAGAGCGATGAAGCAAAATTGGCAAATCTCTCCAGGAGTTCCAGGCTGTTGAATATTCTCAGGTCAGTTTTACAGTAACAAGCTTCATTTTCAAAGCCTGCCCGTGATGTGCAGCACAAGTTAGAACTGAAACTGTGTGCACGTGGGCCTGCAAGTACGGGACTGCAGTTATCGTTATCTTAATTGTGTTTACACTGCTAAAGAGGACAAGAGCTGCTTTCCAGTTGCGCCATCAGCTTCGAGACCACTTGTCCTGCCATTTGTGTAGTTCATGTGACAGCCCAGCCCCCCAGTCAAAGCCTCGGGAGTTACTTTTGAATCTCTAACCGATACAAGTGCTTAGTATCTGTAGAAATCGGTGGCCTGAATACAGGCATTGAGTGACAGTTCTGTTTATCAGACCCTCTTCTGACTGGAAGGTCAGGAAAGTTCCTAATGTTAGCCTGGACCCTGGGCAGGGTCGGTATTGAAGAATGGAATAAAGTAAGGTGTACTGCTGTCATAGCTCCTTTGACCAGCTGATATCCCCAGGAAACGTTGTAAAAAGAGAGTCAACAAGGTATGTCCTTTTCATTCTGATGATCCAGCATTACAATACCTTACTCCCCCACACCAACCAGGTGGTTAGTATTTCACCTTCTTTCTAATTTTAACACCGGTTCATTAATGTGGAATCTTGGTGTGGTGATGGTGCAGGCCATTCAGCCTGTCCTGTCCATGCCAGCAATATGCAAGAGCAACTTAATGAGTTCCACTCCCTCGCCTTTTTCCATTGCCCTGCAATGCTTTTCCATTCAGATAATTATCTGGTTCTCTCTGAAACTCGCACTATGGAAGCTGCTTTTATGAAACAAAAGATTTCCTCCTGTCACCTTTAGTTCTTTCACTGTTCACCTTTAAATTGCCATCCCCTGTCTATTAAGCCTTTTGCCAGTTAAGATGCAACCAGTGATTTTATGCAGGTTCACTAGGAAGATGGTGTTAAAGTTTAAAGGGTTCAGAAAAGATTTACAAGGATGTTGCCGGGGTTGGAGGGTTTGAGCTATAGGGAGAGGCTGAATAAGCTGGGGCTATTTACCCTGGAGCGTCAGAGGCTGAGGGGTGACCTTATAGAGGTTTATAAAATCATGAGGTGCATGGATAGGGTGAATATTGAGTAGGGGAGTCCAAAACTAGAAGGCATAGGTTGAAAGTGAGGGGGGAAAGATTTAAAAGGAACCTGAGGGGCAACTTTTTCACACAGAGGGTGGTGCGTGTATGGATCAAGCTGCCAGAGGAAGTGGTGGAGGCTGGTTCAATTACAACATTTAAAAGGCATCTGGATGAGTACATTAATAGGAAGAGTTTAGAGGGATATGGGTCAAATGCTGGCAAATGGGACAAGATTAATTCAGGAATTGTGGTTGGCATGGACAAGTGGATCGAGGGGTCTGCTTCTGTGTTGTACATCTTTGTGACTCTATGACTCTAACCTCCTTCCTTCTCTGCTCCATTCCTGTTTTTATAAAACTCAGCATCCCTTATGCCTTGTTAATCACTTGCTCAATCTGTCCTGTCACCTTCAGTTGATTTGTTCACCTATAACCCCAGGTGCCTTTGTTTGTACACCCATTTAAAAGTGTATGCTATATTTTATGTTGCCTATCCTTGTTCTTCTTACCAAAATCCATCACTTTGCATTTCCGTGAACTAAATTTCAGTTGCTAGGTGTCTGTCCATTGAACCGACTGTTGACGTCCTCTTGATGATATTCCAGTATCTTCCTCAGTGTTCATGATACTTGCAGGTTTTGTGTCACCTGCAAGTTTTGAAATCATGAACTGCATACCCAAGTCAAGGTCATTAATGCAGATCAAGAGAAACGGTGGTATTAACACTGACTGCTGGGGAACCTCACTATGTACATTCCAAGTTGGAAAATCGAGACCATTACTCTGTTTGCTGCCACTCTGCAATGTTCATATCCATGCTACTACTAATCCTTTTGTTCCATGTGCTTTACTTTGCTGATAGCCTGTCATTTTTACTTTGAGATGCTTTTGGAAGTCCATCACCTCAGTAACTCATCTGCCCTCTCTATTACCATGCCAAAAACCTCAATCAAATTAAATAAATCTTTAACAAAGCCATACCAATTTCCTTAGTTAATCCACATTTGTTTGAGCCACTGTTAATTTTGCCCCAGACTATTATTTCTGCAAGCTTCCACTATCACCAAGGTTAAACTGACTGGAGTGCTAGGTATACCCTTGCACCCTTTATTTTGAAAGAAGTGTTTAGCATTTCCAATTCTCCATTCCTCTTGTAATGTTCCTGTGTCTGAGGAGAATTGGAAAATTATAGCCAAGTATTTCTGCAATTTCCACCCTTGCTTTCCTCAGTATTCTGGAATGCGGCTGGTCTGATCCTGGTGATTTATTAACTTTAAACACAATCCAGCCTCTCAATTTTTAATTCTTTATTATCCATCCAGTGTCTCAACTATCTCCCGTTCTTCGCTATGACTTTGGCATCATCTTCCTTGGTAAGGAAAGATGCAAAGTTCTCATTTCCTAGTTCAATTATGCCCTCTGCCACCCTGTGTAAAATCTTCTTTGCGTACTGTAATTAGCCCATTCCTAATCTTCCTACTTATGGTAACTTCATATTACCTACTGTTGAAATGCTGTATTAGGTAGAATTTCTGATATACCCCAATCCCTGTCTGTTCCAATTTCCTTTTGTAAGAAAGCCCAGTCAGAAACCCACAAAGCTGCTCAGATGTTGAGCTCCTTTTGTTTTTTCTTTTAAAGTAAGATCTGTCGGAAGGTCAGAAGCAAATGGTCAATTAACAGATTTTTGAAACTCTAATGTTGAATATATGCCATTTGGTGGAAATTTGACATCCCTGGGCACACCTTGACAATCAAACATAGATTTTATAATTTGTTTATATTGCATTGTACTGTTAGGTCCATTCAGAGTAAGCATGTGTTTATTCAAACCAATGAGATGTTATCCAAACCAGTGGTCTTCAGCTGTGGTGATCAATCTGTTTGGTTCTGTCTTTACTGTGATGCCTTATTATTTCTGAGGAGGGGCGGTGGGGAAGAGCTATACTGGGGTTGACTGTCCAGCTGTTTCCTGCTTCTCACTTATATTATCAACTTGACATCTGTCTTACATGACCTTTAATTATTTCATTTTACTCTCTTTCACTCATCATCCAGAGAGCTCTGGCTTTGTTTCTCCTGTATTTCTCTTCGTGGAAAAGTTCACGATCTGTACATGAACCAAGGCCTCTTTGAAGACAGTCCATTGTTCCAGTTTTGCTTCCCAACTTTTGATTCTATGGGCTAAATCCATTCTCACCCACTGAAATTAGTCCTCTCCCCATTAATTATTTTGAATTTAGATTGCTTCTTGCTGTTTTTCATAGATTATTCACTCATGATTATATTATGATCACTGTCTCCTAAATGTTCCCCTATTGATACCTGATCTACTTTACCTCATTCTCCAGAACCAGATCCAACAATGCCTCCTTCCTCTTTAGATCAGTGCATTTCTGATCCCAATAATTTGCCTGATCACACTCAAGAAGCTCTTCATCCTCTCAACATTTTACACTATTAATTTCCAATCGTTTGAAAATAATGGATCTCCCATTCAGCCCGGAGATGAGGACAAATTTATTCTCAGAGGGTTGTTAGTCTGTTGAATTCTTTTTCCCAGACAGCCTTGAATATGCTCAATGACCCAGCTTCCAATACTGAGTTGGATGTTTGATCCACATGGAATTTGGGGGTCATAAGGGATGAACAGGAAAGTGGATTAGAAGCCACAATGTAATCAGTCATGATTTTATTGACTGGAGGAGCAAGAACAAGATGAAAATGGTCTATTCTGCTTCTTAATCGTGTATTCTTATTGCTTTTCCAGTCTGCGTTAGGGTAAGTAAAATCTCCTGTTACAACTCGATTCAGTAGTTTTGTACCTCGCTGGATTTCTTTGTAAATTTGCTCCTGTGTATCTTTTCTGCTAGATGATCTATAGAATCCACCAAATACCAGTATCTCTATTGTTTGCTAGCTTTAACCAAATAGCTTCTGTCCTTGACATCTTGAGGACATTCTCTCTTTCCAGCACTCATATATTCTGTTCAGTCAATACTGCCACCTTAATATTTCTGAAATTGAGTTAAGTGGTTGCAAAGATAACGAAAGTGTTGTCCAGAGTATTCGAGAACTTACTGGATGCTGGGAGCGTTTCAGTGGATTGGAAAACTACTAATGTGATGCTCCTGTTCAAGAAGTGAGGGAGGCAGTAAGCAGAAAACTATAGGCCAATTAGCCTAACAACTGTCATTGGGAAAATGTTAAAGTCCATTTTTAAATAAGAAATAGCAGGACATTTAGGAAAGCTTCTCACAATCATAGTCAATATAGCTTTGTGAAAGGGAAATAATGTTTGACAAATTTGCTAGACAGAATTGATAAATGGGAACTAGTAGGTGTAATGTA